TCAAACATATATTTTATTCAAAAATAAAAACATCATCGCTTTCTCAAAATCACATAAAGTCATATTATAATATCGAATGAGATAAAGAATAAAATGAAATATTAAAAACACGATGTATCTCGCTGCATTGCGCGAGTACTCTTCTAGTTATTTATTAATGCATACTACTTAAAATTCAAATTACAAATAAATTGTATGTAAATATAACTTACTAAAGCTTCATGTTCGAATTCGAGTTGTAGATGAACATAATTAAATACATGATAAACATCTCATTTTAAATATAAAAAATTTAAAATATAATTAGGATGACCACTGAGTTCGAACAGAATGTTTAGTTACAGTCTTTATAAAAAAATTTATTATTAAATAAAAATAAATTACTTCTTTATTAAACTTAAATTAAATTATAATTAAAAGGGTGAATTAAAAAAATTACACAAAAGAATTGAGAAATTTTAAATAGTTAATTTGATAATAATATCATTATTGTTTTCATTTTTTTATGAATTCTCCAAATTTATATTTTATTCATTTTCCTAAAACCACATAAAATCGTATCCTAATATCGATAGAGACAAAAAATAAAATAAAACATTAAAATCAAGATGTATTTCGTTACATTGGACGAATGCATTTCTAGTTATAATTAAATAACTAGAGAATGAGATTCTAATTTTACATTATTCTTATTTCTTAGGGGCATATGTTAGAAGTTTAATGAATTTAATAAGATTTATAGTTTATTTATTTAATTATATATGATTTTTTGTTAATGATTTAATATCGGGTGTTTGTTTTCAACTTAATAAGCTTAATGAGTGGTTATCTTAGGGAGTGTTTGAGATTGTTTATTTGAAATGACTTATTTTTTTATAAAAACACTTATCAACTTATTATAAGTCAGAAAGGTTTAACTTCTTCAAAAACTTTTTATTACCGGTTTGACACCGGTATAAGTTGTTTATTTAAACACTCAAAAGTGTTTATTACCGATGTTACACCGAAATAAGTCAATAAGTTGTTTTTATAAGCAATCTCAAACACCCCCTTAATTGGTTAAGTAATATATTGAAATGTTTGATTTTAACTTAATACTCTCTTAATGCATTAAGTTAGAATTTTTTGTAAATATTACCTTTATCCTACAATTTTCAATTAATGTCTCATTAAAAAATAAATAATTTATCAACATGCGTAAATCAAAAATTATAATTAAACAATAATACTTTATTATTTTAAATATACTTTATGGTATTAAATATTGTTTTATCATATTATTTTAATTTTTTGTCATTTAAAATATGTTTTAAATGGTTTATTTTCTTTACCTATATATAAGGTCAAAATGGTAACATTTATTATTCAGAGTGTTTATTCAGAACAAAATCAAACAACAATTTATCTTGATTTATTCAGACAGATTAATACTTATAAACAACTTAATAAATAAAAAATAAACAACCCCTTAATGATATAAAAAGTGGTTTATTCGGTAAAATTCAACACTATTACTTACTTATTGGGTAAGATTTTATTCCACCAAAACGATATTGTATGCAACAATTTACCCGATAAACTCTTATCATGGTAAGAGTCGTTACTCTCACTTACCGGGTAAGACTCTTGATTCTTGTCTTGCTTTTACCACGTAAGACTCTTGGTCCTTGCCTTGCTCTTACCGAGTAAGATTCTTAGTCCTTGCCAAATTCATCCGGTAAGGTAATGTGACTTGGTAAGCGCTTATGCGGGTAACCGTTTGGTAAACGGTCGCTTAGTTTTCGCTAGTTTTCTCTATTTTAGTGAACAATACAGTAATATATTAAAAGGAGTATATCAATTATAACATAAATGTTTTTATAGATGTATGCATTTATGTACATATGTAGAGGAAGAAAACCTTACATTTCAACCACAAGGGTGGTGCCTGATTGGTTTGAGCTTAGCTCCAAAGGTCAAAAGTACCTGGAGGTCTCAGGTTCAAATCCAATGAGAAATAAAAATCCCTTGTGGCCACGGAGGTTCAAATGCGGTGACTCCGAGTTATCTGCAAAGCAAGTGGTCGCCCTGGGATTAGTCGGCTCGTATAGCGGGTTGGATATCCAGGTTAATAAAAAAAACCTTACATTTCTTGGTTTTCATTTCAAACATTATTAGGTGCAACTTCATAACAGGGAAGATGTTGAGAAGCTGATAGCCGATCACAAGACAGATGGGAAACTGCTTGTGCTCGATGTCGGGCTAAAACATTGTGGCCCTTGCGTCAAGGTATACCCGACAGTGTTAAAACTATCGAAGCAGATGGATAATGCGGTTTTTGCAAGGATGAACGGTGACGAGAACGATAGTTGTATGCAATTTTTGAAAGACATGGAGGTTGTTGAGGTCCCAACCTTTTTGTTCATTAGAGATGGAGAGATATGCGGAAGGTACGTCGGGTCAGGTAGGGGGGAACTTATCGGGGAAATTCTTAGATACCAAGGAGTTCGTGTCACATATTAACCAGAACGTGGTGGTTATATTTAAAAACATTTTAAAGAATTGTATGGTATGATATTTCTAATTACAAAAATATTTGTACCATATAAATCTTATTGGTCTATTAAGAACTGTTTCATGGTGTAATTTACTGAACTTTTGTCTCAAAACCCTAATTTCGATTAAAATTACAAAATCATGCCAAACTAAGGGGGTGTTTGGGATAACAATTTATTGACTTATTCTAGTGTGATACCAGTAGTAAGCATTTTTGAGAGTTGGATAAATAGCTTATACCGATGTCAAACCGGTAATAAGGAGTTTTTGAAGAAGTAAAATCATTCTAACTTATAATAAGTTGACAAGGACTTTTGTAGAAAAACATAAGTTGTTTCAAATAAGCAATCCCAAACACCCCAAATCGATTCAGTAAATTTCGTTTGAAAGCAGAGTCTGAGATGGGTTGAGACGTATGCAAATTTACCCATTATTTCAAGGAGTATAGTAATGTTTTTTTTTTTTGTTGAAAACCTCCGACTTGTAAAAAGATACGGGCAAACCAACAGAATGAACAAAAACTAGCACATAGAAAATAGAGAAGTAGTTAATCCAACTGACATAACAAGTAGGTACATTGGAAACACACTGAAATTTTCCATTTCTACAAACCATAGCCTCTTATAAGAAAATACATTATCATTTGGACATGCGACGATAATTACAGAATGCTGATTGGAGAGACTAAACATTACCCTGGACACGAACATTCGAGATGCAATAATCCTACTATGAAACGTCAGTTCAATTTTATTTTATTGAATTTTGAATTATCATTCAGCAACTTAGAAAACAGATTTGGATATTGAAAACTGAATCTGGTTAGGGGCGAACCTACTAACAGGGTACGGGGTGCAAGGCCTCTGGTCAATCATCCAATCGTAATGGAAACCCTTTTACCGGCCATAACTGTGAACCCATTTTGAATTATACTCTTACATGTTTCTAAAACTCAACTTGAAACAGAACTGTGAAGTTGTTAGAATAATTGGGTGTTACTTGCCTCCTTTAAGGTCATGGGTTTGATTCTTGTTGATAACAAATTATCGTTTTTTAACCACAAGGGTGGTGCTTGATTGGTTTGAGATTGGCTCAAAAAGTCAAAAGTACCAGGAGGTCTCAGGTTCAAATCTAAGGAGGAATAAAAATCCTCTTGTGGCCACGGAGGTTCAAATGCGGTGACTCCGGGCTATCTGCAAAGCAGGTGGTCGCCCTGGAATTAGTCGGCTCGCATAGTGGGTTGGATATCCAGGTTTAGCTTTTTATGTTTTCAGTTTCAGTCTTTAAAAAAAGACAAACATATATACAACCAAAAGTATTGAACTCAAGACCTCAACCATAAAAGCCTTCCTTATTGCTTCATTAGTGAGGTTCTGTTCCTTGAGACAATTTTGTCTTTGCGGGATTAGCTCTTGAAGTATACTACCTGACTTTTGTTTCTTGCTCGGGAGCCAAAACGAACACGCCTGATACCTCTTGAAAGTCGATTATTATTCCTCTGTATATGACATCGTTAAACATGCTTATGTAAGCAGTTTGTATAACTATACTTTATTGTTGCATCTGCTACCCATTATAAAGGTGGAATATGGGCGAGAGCTTGCTGAGCGTAAGACCTAGTCTTGCATCTCATGCTCAAAAAGTCAAGGTCGATTTCATTTGTAAAAATGTACTGTATTAAGTCGACACAATTGAATTTTCCACGAGTCAACCATGTTGACTTTTCGAAATACAGGATCTCTTGGACTTGAAAATATTTTTGTTTTGAAGATTTTGAAGTTTCGTTTTTCATTTTGGAGAAATTTTACCATTCTATCCTTAATTATGAGATGAAAAAAGTTTCTCTCCGTCTATTATCAAAGGTAAAAAATTATTTGAAACTTTTTTATTTTGAACATTTATTTTGAGAAAAAAAAACTGTATATAGATATACATTTAAGAATACTAGAAGGGTACTTGCGCAATGTAGCAAGATACATCTCGATTTTAATGTTTTGTTTTATTTTTTGTCTATGTTGATGTTATAATACGATTTTATGTGTTTTTAAGAAAACAATAATGATTTTATTCTTGAATAAAATAAAATTTTGAAAAAAATATATCAATGTTAGTATCAAATCAACTATCTAAAAGTTCTCATTTTTTGTGTAATTTTCTTTAATTTATTTTTATTATAATTTAATTTAAGTTTAATAATGAAATAATTTATTTTTGGTTTAATATTATAAATTCTATAAAAATAATAATTAAGTATTATGTTAGAATTCAATGATTATCTTAATTATATTTTAAATTTTTTATATTTAACATGAGATGCTTATCATGTATTTGATTATGTTCATCTGCAGTTAAAACGAATTTAGATATGGAGCTTTAATAAGTTGTACTTACGCATAATCTACTTGCAATCATGAGTTTTAAGTAATATGCATTAATAAACAGTACTTTATGCATAAAAAATGGTTTTTAAGAGTTTTTGTCAAATGTTTTATAATATAGTATAGATATACAGATGTAGACTTGAAATCACGTGAGATCGGCCTGTTTTCGTGAGACCACTTTCTTAAACTTGAAACTTCATAACAAAATGCTGTGAAAATAACCTTCACTGAATTTTTGTTGTGAATATTCGATTTTTTTTACCTTCATAGCATTTTGCTGTGAAATTTCAAATATAAACAAATTATTTCATAACTTTTATGAAAACAGACTGGTCTCACATGAACACAAGACTACACATATATTTGCCACATCCCTTGACTGTGGGCCCACAAAATCCAATGGTCTGGTTATCCATCATCCACGACCAAGTACAAATACCTTGCTCAGTAATGGCAACCATTAAAGCTAATTATGACGTCATTTTGTGAAATTAAGTTATTTTTATACAATAATTCGTATCTCATGTATTATCTACTAGAAGGGTATTCGTACAAAATACATCTCGATTTTAATATTTCGTTTAATTCTGTCTTTGTCGATGTTATAATACGGTTTTATGTGGTTTTGAGAAAAACAATAATGTTTTTATTTTTGAATAAAATACAAATTTAAAGATTTCTTAAACTTAATAAAAAATATTGATATTAGTGTCAAATTAACTATTTAAAAGTTTTTATTTTGTTTTGTGATTTTTTAATTCAATTTTTTTTATTATAATTTAATTTAGGTTTAATAATAAATGTAATTTATTTTTAATTTAATGATATATTTTTTATAATATAATAATTAAATATTCTGTTGAGTTTATATTAATATATATACCTTAGACAATTACACAATCAGGTGCGTTCTTCATATATACATGTTTTCAATCTATTTCTCATCTCTATATAACTCATTTGTATATATATTCATTGAGAAAATTAATTGAATATGATATACTTAAGAAGTATGGATAAGTTGTATCAAATGGTTGATGATGAAAAAGAAATTATGAGTAGAAAAATAACATATTCAAGGTTGGAAATTGGAAGAATATTTTAATGTACCAAAGTATCAACCCGATCAACCCGTACGGTTTGAGTTGGGTTGGGCTAAGATTTTTCAAACCGCAAACATATATATATAAATTGAGAAAATTAGTTGAATATGATATACGTAAGAAGTATGGATAAGTTGTATCAAATGATTGATGATGAAAAAATAAATTATGAGTAGAGAAATAACATATTCAAGGTTGGAACTTCGAAGAATATTTTAATGTACCAAAGTATCAACCCGATCAAACCGTACGGTTTGAGTTGGGTTGGGCTAAGATTTTTCAAACTGCAAACATTGGGTTAGGTTGTTCAAACCAATCCATGAGCACCCCTAACTGGGAGTTATCTAGAGGTGTCTAACAATTCAATCACTTCGACAATCTTTAGCTTGAACCAACAACTGAGTCTTGAACAGTATCACAACCCTTCATAACGTTTCACAATTCTTCTCGCTTAAATATCTGATTGTCTGACCTTTTTCGAACCCAGTTTTCATATTTTTGGATTAATAACAAATATACAACATTTATCAGTTGTTTTCGGTTAAAATGATCAATTAACAAAATTCAAAATAATAATTAAATAATAATATCAGTTATTATGATATCCGACATCTTTGAACCAGTAGTTTTTGGGATGAATATAAACCGTTAATTTCTATTTTTGGACAATTAAGAAAATGGAGCGGAGGTGGTTTTTTGAATATTTGGTTGAACGAAATCATTTACCGAGTACTATAAATACTTATTTCCGGCATCGTAAATCCAAAACATACAGAGAGAGACATTTCTCTAACGAATTTGATCGTTTCTCCTCTCTCTATTTCCTCCGTCGACCGTCGCAACGGTTTGCCGTTGTTCACGGCGGCGTCGCTGCATTGCCTTTTCTAGGGAAATAATACAACGTTCTACGTTTTGTTAACATTCTTCAATTCCTTCAGAAAATCAATAAACCGTAAGATCGTGTTCTGTTTTTGTTCTTTTGTCGTTTATATTTTGGATATTTATATGTATATTTGTTCGCATTAAATGATTTATGATCTCGTTTTGTTCATCTGAATTTCGATCGATTGTGATGTCGATTTCTAGGTTCGTCTGTTCGTTTTCTGTTGTTTTTGTATGAATTTGTGATCTGTAATGGTGTATCTAGAAGCATCGTTATCTGTAAACGATCAATTTTGGCAGAAGTTTTTGAAATGCACATTTGCCAACAGTAATCTGTTCACATATTGACGGAAAATGTGGCAAACAGATGCAAAATTGGTTATTCGTTTTCCATTTTTGCATCACTTAGATTATGGTTTTTGGGCCTGTTTATGTCGTGGGTTCAGCTACTTAATCGTAATCGTTGAGTTACTTGTGACAGGGCAAGATGCTTGGATATATGCTGAACCGACTCCTTGTGTATGTTGATCGAATACTCTTTTCCTTTTTGGAAGATCTCGACTGAAATTCTTTAATTATAAGTTTATAACCTGTCTGATTGTGTGCAGGTTGCTGCTTGCATATGCATATCCAGCTTATGAATGCTTCAAAAATGTGGAGAAAAATAAGCCAGACCTGGAACAACTTCGCTTTTGGTGCCAATACTGGTAAAATAGCTATGCATGTCACTTGTGTTCAAAATCTTTAACGACTTTGTCCCTAAAACCTTATTCATAATGTTTTCAGGATATTGATTGCTGCAATGACTGTTTGGGACCCCTTTGGTGATGCACTAATTTCATGGTAAGCCCGGGCTTAATGGAGACATTTACAGCATTGTCGGTGTTAGATTCCACATCGACTAGACTCGAACACATCCTTTTCAGTCCTGAAAACGACTTTTGAAAATTAAGCCGATGGGAATCATGGTTTTGATGTTATGGTCTTGTTTTGGTGTAGGCTCCCAATGTACAGTGAAGCGAAGTTGGTATTTTGCATCTATTTGTGGTACCCCAAAACGAAGGTAATTTATGTTTCTTGTGATTGGGTTTGGATGAAAGTTGTAGGACTGAAAATGGGGTTCTAACGGCTTCAATTATTTCAGGGAACGAAATACGTTTATGATAGCTTCTTCAAACCATACATTTCAAAGCATGAAGCGGAGATTGACCGTACCCTGTCGGAATTGAAGACCCGTGCCGGAGATTCTGCATCTCTTTACATCTCGAGAGTTGTCAGCTATGGTCAGACAAGAGCTTTTGAAATTCTTCAACTAATTATGTCGCAATCGATTCAAAGACCTCAACCCGCCCCTCAGGTATCACTCGTTCTCTTTTAACCTGTTCTGATTTGGTCTCACTTAATCCTTGTCTCGTGTTTTTGTTCTATACTGTTCTGTGTGCAAAAACCACCCTTAATTCTGTCAATTTGAATATTCGTTTGGTTTGTAGGATTTGAAATAGAATTAAATTCCATTCTTTACAGATGATTTTAGAAAACAAATTATAAAAATAATTAAATTACTTATTATTTGATTAAATTCTAAAACGAATCTTACCACAGGATTTCTAAATCCCATGTTTGTGGGCGAAATCCTGGGATTTCAATTCCGGAATTTTCTTTAAACCAAAAGTCATATCGGATTGGAATCTAATTTCAAACCGTTAATTAAATCCTCTCAATTCCAATTATTTTCATGAAATCCAAATCCATCAAAAGCATTCTATCGGGTTTCAGTAACATGAAATGACATTTGAAAATGGGAATGAATATGTACTGATGGTTATGAGTAGAAACAACAGCCTGCAGCTGCAGCTCCACAAGACAATTCCGGTGACAGCAAGCCATCGGGGGCTGGAAATAATGAAGATACTTTTGGGGCACGTAATCGGCTGAGGAAAACCGGTTCCGGCGTTGCTCGTTGAATCTGAGGTTTCCGAATTATCGGTCGTATTCTCCACATGTTATTAATCTGCAACCAAGCTGTGAGAATTTAGGCATTGGAGATTGATCATGTAACCCTTTTTCTATATATATATATATATATATATATATATATTTATATATCATTATATGTAATATATGCAACATTTGTTGCTTAATGAAACCACCTACTTATTTATATATATGCTGCCACTCTTTACGTATCATCATCTCTGCTGCCAAATTCAAATTTTATGTTTCTATTCACACTTCACATGTTCATTATATATATATATATCCATTAAAGAACTAATTAGTTTGTGGTAACCGTGAGATCCAATATAAACCACTCGTTTGAGATATTTAAGGATATTTTTTAAATAAGCTAAAAGGGTAATTTTTGATAATTAATTAAAATATTTAATTAGAATTTTTAGAAAGAAATATTTAATTAAAATTAGTTACCTAGCTAGTATATCAATTACTTAATATACATCGTATTTTAAAGACGTTTAAGAATCAAATTATATTATAGTGACAAGTTCACAATGTTTCATGTGTATCACAATGTATTCTTTTTGTTTTATGAAATGTATCATAGTGTGTATTTTCGTTATTTTCATTGTTTTACAAAATGTATCACATTGTATATCTTGTATGCATATTTGGGTATCACAGTGAGTATCGTTTGTAGGTATCACAGTGTGTATCGTGTGTTCACATAAGGTTCATTGGAATAAAGTTCGTCGAATAAGATTTGCCGGAAATAGAAAAAAAAATTCGCCAAAGAGAAGGGATGAGAGAGGATATTTATAAAATCCATAAAATGCCCTTAATTAATATTTTAAGTTAAAATTATTAATTTCCTAATTTAGCCTTTGATTTGTGGTTGAAATTGGATCTCACAGTTACCACAAACAAGACAGTTCTCATTTGATTAGGCCTATATATATATATATATATATATATATAAACCAGTGGTGTTTGTTTTTTTGTAACATTTTTCATTCTCGTTGCACTCAATTTCTCGTTGGTTCGTTTGTTTTGTTGTCGGGGTTGTTTTTTCTTGTATTTTCCTCTTTCTTTTTGTTTTCTTCGGTTGCATATTTGTGATTGGTCTACTTTTTATTGTTGCATCAGAAAAGCACGATACTTTTGTAATGTTATAGTTATCGATCGAATAATGCTGGTCCCAAACAAGCCATCATTATGTCGTTGAGTTTGGTTAAGACTATGATGAGACGAGGTCCGGTTTGAAATTGATGTTGAATAAAAATCATCCATTTAACGGTTGAAGGGAATCTTGATCCAACGATATGTAGTATTGTCAAGCGTATAGTTTTGTTTCGTAGGGATGAAATGAATTTGAGTGAGCTGAGTGTGTTAAAACGTAGCTCAGTACCAACAAATATGACAAGAATATATATATATATATATATATATATATATAAACCAGACCTGTTATGATTCTAGCAACAGTTACTCCCAATTCAACTTCAGTTAGTTATTTGTTGAAATAAACACGTCAATCACTTGTAAAGGATTTCCGTAGCAAATACTCGTCATATCAAACTTTTTCGGAACTATAGAATATGTCATTTTTGGTAGATTTTACGAGTTAATCATGGTTGATGAAGAGGTTGCAATAAGTAAAGGGCAAATTGCATGAAAATGTAACGTACTTTAACTTGATTCATATTTTGGGTCACGTATTTTCAAAACTTTATTTTTGGTACCTACGATGTAAAGTTTTAAACTAAATTCCCGGGTAACTGGTTGAAGCATTAACCGGTTATCATGCTGATGTGGCGAATGATGTGATATCCAACTCAGTATTATTTGCTAACGTGGTTAGTAACATAAATTTTTTTAATCTGAAATTAATCTTTTTTAAATCTAAAATTAGAATAATTTTTACGAGATAAAAACTAGTTTCTTGAATATAATTCTAAAGACTAGTTTTTAAAAAAACAATTAAAAAAACAGTAAACATATGTATGTGATGGTTTTTCAGTGTTTTTAAAAGACCCGTCATGACAAAATGTTGTGGCACAAGATTTGCTTCTAACATCATGTTAAGTTTTTTGAAGTATATAATATATTTTATATACAGAAAATAGAACAAATAAACTCACACACCATTCTCATCATTGATGATGTTTGAACTCCACGACTAAAAATAACCATTTTACCCCTTGATATGAACTAAACATTGTCGGTAAGTTAAGTACAGGTGGTAGAGATTAGAGAAGCACAAAAAAAACCCAAACTTGCAGATCAACCCGAAAAAAAACCCAAACCTAATGAGACAGAAGTCAAGACCAAGCAAAGCCTCAAAGCTTGATCCCGTAAAAATTTTGGGGCAGGTCCGGGAAAGACTAAAAAAAGCCCGATTAAAGAAGTCGATTGGGACCTTTTTCAACCCCAAAGCCGGCCCTAGCCCTACAAAGGTCCGACCATTACTTTCATTCACTTGAAACAGATTTGACAAACCTGAAAAAGTCTGAACTTTATGCATCTCAAACGAAAACCGACTCTTACCCTGTAAACGTTTAACGAGTCGGCATTGATGAACAACTTTTGAGATATCGCCATTAACTTAAAAGTATGATTATACAGAGGATTGCAATCAGATCCGATCCGATCCATTTACAATCAGATCCGATCCGATCCTATCCATTTACAACGAAATGTAAGAAAATAAAAAACCAGTTATCTTAGATTCAACTGGAATTAAATATTAATTATCCAGATCCTTTCCTATTTCGGGCCCTATTCCTTTTGGCATTACTACTACTCTGCTTGTTTGCACTTCCACATACGATATGGAATTCAATCCCTAATGCAAAACATGAAAACAACCCTCCGCCGTCTGAGTGCCGCCGTGGGTGGTTCCGACGACGTGCTACTCTGTTATGCGCCGGAAAATCCACCAGCCATCCTTTTGCTAATGCTTCTTCCATTGTCAGTTCACCCAAAATCGAACTCCCACCATCTTCTGCATTTCTCATCACAGGTCTTCGTGCAATCAGTGGTGGTCGTGGAGACGGCGGCGGTTGCGACTTCTGTGCTATCTCCGCCGCTACAATCGAAGCCGATGGTCCAACGTCGGAGCAGATCTCAGATCCGTTCACCATCGATCCGTTGTATACAGATCCAGGATAATCATCTTCATCATCAATTTCATCCACGCTTCGTGAACGCCATAAATGAATCTTCTCGTGAACATGAAGCTTTCCGTCTTCCAAGTCGATGGCGGCTTCGTTTTCTGGTTTTTTATCGCCGGAAAACTCGCTGTACAGTGGAACTCCTTGTTCGTTTGCGTTGCCTAGGGTATAGCCCATATTCATAATCCCTTGTGGAGTACCAGATGGACGGCGGATCTGAAGCGTGACGAAACGACTTCCGGCACGGTAGTGCTTGTGCTCCGGCGTGATTAGATCGTCAATCAGAACATTAACGCTGCCGACAAGAACGTCGCGAAACCAGGAAACATTGTAGATCTCAATGGTAAGGGAGGATGATTCAGAGAAGAGAAATTGATCGTCGATTTTGAACATGAGTTTTTCGTTCCAGGTAGGATTGGTGTTGCCTTTGGTGTCGACGAGAGTGGAGAGCTTGCGATTAGGGTGGAGATAAGCCATGGCGTAGGTTTTCATGGATTTGGCGGAGAGGGAGAGATCTTGAGCGGAGATGAGGTTGATTTCAAGGTGTTGGAAAGCAGGAGGAGGAGCTTGGAGGGAAGGGGAGGAGGCGGAGGTGACGGTGGAGGAAGCCGGTGGGGTGGGAATGGTGGTGGTGGTGCGTTCCATTTTGGGCGGCCATCGAAAGAGGAATGGTGAGGAAGGAGGGTTTGTAAATATAGAAGGTGAAGGTGGTGGTTATGGAGTTGTATTTGTGTCCGTACAATTTCAACGGAATTTAATTTTTATAAATTTAAAAATATTTTTTTGGAAATAAATAGTTGTCAAATAATTTCAATAAATTCTTTAACGTGGGGGAAACATAACGTTTTTTTTAAATTTCATGAAAATGTAACGTATTTTAACTTGATTTTTATTTTGAGTAATGTGTTTTCAAAACTTTCATCTTGGTATCTAAGATGTAAAGTTTTAAACATTTAGGTATGCGAATAACTGGTTGAAACATTAACCGGTTACCATGCTAACGTGGCAAATGATGTGGTATCTAACTCAGTAGTATTTGTTATTCAACCCAATTTCATCTCATCATTTGCCACATCTTAGGTAACCGGTTAATGCTTCAACCGGTTACTTGGGTACTTAAATGTTTTAAACGTTACATCTTAGGTATCAAAATGGAAGTTTCAAAAATACGTTACCCAAAATAAAAAATCAAGTTAAAGTACATTACTTTTTCATGTAATTTGTCCTTTTTTTCCAACAAGTTTTTCAAAACCTTTATATAAAATGGAGAAAATAGGGGCGTTCACGGTCTAGTTTTGGACGGTTTAGCCCTCCAAATCCGAACTGTACTAGCGGTTTAGGAAATTCTTCAAACTGACATGTTTGACAACCGGTTAAATCGGACAAAAAAAACGGTTTGGTCTGACTAATTTAAGCGACTTGGACTTTTTATGGATTTTAAACTAAAAAACGCAACATTTATCTGAAAATGAAATTTCCCAATATAACATTATTTAAAAAATAGTATATTGAATTATATAAAAAAATCCATCTCTAAAATTTAGAAAAAAACATTGAGTAAGTTGAAGAAAAAAGTTAAACAAGTCCACCAACAATAGTTGGAATTCTGGACAAACATTGAGCAAATCGAATGATGATTTGGAATTTAGAATTTGATTTTTAACGGGTTTCGGAATTTTATCCATTTAGATAATATGGTCGATTGAGAAATGAAAACTAAATACGTAATGACTCGGAAGAACTTCCTTTTTAATTGGTCATAAAAGTCGAGACTACAACATAAAAAAAACTAAATATAATCAATAAATGTGTATTTTTGGCGGTTGATTCAATCCAAATCGCTCAAAAGAAAGTACAAACCGCATATAAGATCGGATTGAGCGGTTTAACTATTTTTCAGACTGAATCGGACACGTCAAACCGCTCAAACCGGCAAAAACGGTCTGATTTGACTTCGTTTGACCCTTTTTACGACCTAACAGTTTTTTTAACACCCCTAAGAGAAAATAGGAGAGAAAATATAAAATCTCCAAATATGAAAAAACATTCCAAAATTAATTACAATGAGAAATAAAATATTATTTAATAATATTTTCAACGATATGAAACTTTTAAAATAATATTTAAAATATTTTATCAAATGAAATAGTTAAGATTTTGTAAGTAAGCATTTTAACACTTTTGAAATTTATTTTTTATAAATTTAATATTTATAAGTTAACANATATATACATGTATATATATATATATATACACAAACAACACATGTACATGCGTACATACGACATCAACACATAAAAATATGTATATATAACACATAAAAATGAGAAAATAAGAAAAATAGAAAAATCCCTCGCTGTTCCCTCGCAGATCAGCGAGGGATCTGCGAGGGAATGTGAATTTTTTCATTTCCCTCGCTGATCTGCGAGGGATCAGCGAGGGAATGTGAATTTTGTCATTTCCCTCGCTGATCCCTCGCTGATCAGCGGGGGATCAGCGAGGGAATTTGATTTTTTGCCATTTTCCTCGCTGATCCCTCGCTCTATTTGCGAGGGATCAGCGAGGGAATTTGCAGAAGAAATTTCTCTCGCAAATCAGCGAGGGAATTAGTTTTTTGGCAATTCCCTCGCTGATTCTTCGTTGATCTGCGAGGGATCAACGAGGGAAACTTTCCCTCGCATATTAGCGAGGGATCAGCGAGGGAATGAGGTTTTTTGGTATTTCCCTCACAGATCAGCGAGGGATCAGCGAGGGAATGAGTTTTTTGGCATTTCCCTCGCTGATCCCTCGCTGATCTGCGAGGGAAATATTCCCTCGCTGATACCTGGTTTTCTAGTAGTGTTATAAAGAGTTGGATTAATATTTCATAATTTGTTGGTTATTGTTGTTAAATGATTATTTGATTTTGTTTGGTTGGTTTTGGAAGATTTATTTGTTTTGTTTTGTGCAAATTGCAATAAACAGAATCAATTTAAACTTATGCTTATGCCGGTAAACTAATTTATCAGTTAATTTATTTTTTGAGTATACGCTTAACTTATAGAAATGCTAGTTGAAGTAGCGTTTAGAAGGTTTTTGTTAACACTTTTTCCAATTACAACGTTATTAAAATTATTTATTAATTATTAAGATGTATGTAATAATTATTGAAATCATCATTCAGTGGATATTTTCTTAAATTTCTATTTGGTTGTATAAATCCAAATTTTTTTCTTCCAATCACCTCTAAGGTTATGTTTTCAATTTTTCTTTCTATATATTTTTGTTATGACAATATTAAATTTTATAAAAAAAAATTAATATATGCTAAGAAAAACATTAAGTCCTATTAAACTAGAAATATAATTCATAAATTTTAAAATTTACAATTTCTGTAAAGAATTCAATTAAAAAATTTATTGTGATTTAGAATAATCAAATTCATATTGGTGCATAAACATATATAAAGAGACATGGGTTCATACGAGAACAATAATTAAATATGAGAACAAGAAAACAGTCATGTCATACGCTCGTTAGGGCTGTAAACGAACCGAACTTTCAGCGAACCGTTTGGCGGGAAATTCGTTTATTTAATAAATGAACGAACATGAACAATTTTTTTGTTTATTTAGTTAAACGAACGAACATGAACAATAGCCACATTCGTTCATTTAGGTTCGTTTAAGTTCATTTATATTCGTTTGTTTGTATTCGTTTGTATATCTATACTATATTATAAAGTATTTAACAAAAACTCTTAAAAACTATTTTTTATGCATGAAGTACTGTTTATTGATGCATATGTAACACCTGGAATTTTCTTTCCTTTCTTTTCTTTACTCCAGTCACGTTAGTATTCCTTTTCTCCACCTCCGTCTCGTCTGCGTGGTAAGCGTGTTTTTTTATCGATTTATTTATATCTGCATATCAGGAGTTTAGCCCCTCTTTGTTATTTATTTAAGTGACTCTAAGAAAAATAAAAGGAGAATGCATTATTATAAACCTTGGATTTGAGTGAGTTATTAAAAAAAGGTTTAATTTTTAAAAAGGGGGGGTATTACCCTCTACATTTTGATCCTAACCTCCAGACTTTTCACACCATGGAAAAATTTTCCTCTGGACTTTGAGTCATTACCTACTTCTTCTAGTTTGAAAGGAAAGCTGAGTTGATTTTACTGGGGGAGAGACTGCACCTGGGAAAGGGAAAAACCCCTTCATTCGAGGTAAGGAAGAAGGAATCAAAGAGGAAGAAGGGAACTTCATCAAGATAAAAAATAAGGGCAGCAGCTGTGTCTACCTTAGCATCGACCACATATAACCCATCGCACATCGCCAAATCTGTAAGCTTTGAGGTGTTGTACCCGTCTCTCGCAGCCATCGTCGTTGTCCCTCGGCGAACAACAGCAGCAGTCAGCACCGGTTCAGAGGGCAGCAGCAGTAAGCAACAGCAGCACAACCGTGTTGTTTCTTCGTTCCTTTCCGTCCACCTTTTGTTCAAGACTTTGAGGATTTCTCCTAAACCCTCCAAGGTGAGTTCATATTAACCATTTAGGAATTTTTATACCAAAGGAAATGATGCACCATGCTTATCTTATATTATAAATTATAAATTTACGTATTGGATTTAGATAGAGATTTCAGGTCATAAATAAAAGTTTTATTGGGGGATCTTGTTCATAGGCTTTAGATGAGTTGGAAGAATGGGACTAACCATTTGGTAAAATGCTTGCTTCTAAATATGGATAGGCATAGAACTCTAGAATTCCCATGTTCCACTTTTGGAGTCTATTATCGGCAAGTGGGAATGCGTCGTTTAGTCTAAGACACGTGCAAAAATCTGTTTGATGTACAAGAGATTTCAATCCTTACGTTAATGTATTTCGAGTATGCTACTAGATTGTGATGGATTTGTAGACACTGAAGCCGTTTTATTACATTGGTGTGAGGGATGGTAAGTTAGAGATAAGCATTGTGATTATTATGTGATCTCCAAACCATCTTCTCATAACTCGGAAATAGGCATTGTGATTATTATGTAATTTCCGAGATAAAGAACTTAAGATCACGACCGACTACATGATTGGTTTAGGTTGATGTCAATGGTATTATACATGTATGTGATGATCTACGTTGATTTATGTCTTACTTCGTTTCCGACATAATCAACGGTAAATCGGGTCTCCCTCGTCATCTTCGGATAGTTTTGGCTCCTCCGCGTGTCATTTTGGATTAACTGCCTCCCCATATTATTTAAGTTTACGTTATCCGTTTTTTTATAAAAGGTTTTATAATTATCTTTACTTTGTTCTTTGGACTCACTAGGCGTAAGCCTAACACTTCCTCTTGTCATGACTTGTTTATCAGGTTCCTTTAGCGACGGGGCTTCAAAGGGTTGAGGGGAACGTTGCCCCTTTAGAGTCTTTTTTGTAGATAAAGCTTTTGGCACTTTGAGCGTTGCAACACTTCTGAAACCGCATTTTGTTGGAGTTGGTAGAAACACCCGTTCTTAATCTAGGCATAGAAGTGTTTAGATTAATAGGTTGCCTCTTATCATCTCATTTTTTTTTTGTGTTCTGTAAACGCTACACTCTGCCCATTGTTGGGTGATTTCTTATCAAACGCTAGTAATTTCGGTTCAAGTTACCTCCTACCCTCTTATTTAT